TGTGGGTTAAACTCAGCAGAATTTAGTGGATCTGGATGTTTTGTTTAGCTTTTCTGGGTCATGTTTTTCCCATACAAAATGAAGACTCTCCCATATTTTCTAATTTATATAAATGTGGCCCTCTTGAATTGTTAAAACTTTAAAAAAATATTTATTTGTTTGAAAGGCAGAGTGACAGACAGATAGGAGACATACGTCACCTGTCTGCTGATTCACTCCCCAGATGACTGCAACAGCTGGGCCTGGTCCACACCAAAGACAGGAGCACAGAACTCCATCTGGGTCTCCCACATGGAGCAGAGAGCCACAGCACTAATAGGCTTTCCCAGGTACATTAGTAGGGAACTGGGTCAGAAGTAAACCAACTAGCACACAACACTGCATTCCAACACAGAATGCTAGAGCCACAAACTGTGGCTTAACCCAATGCAACACAATACCAGCCCTTCCCCTGAATATTTTGAACTTCATTTACATTTTAATTATTTACTGGAGAGACAGAGAATGAGAGCACCCATAAACTGGTTAACTCTTCAAATACTCCACAGAAGACATGGGAGCTCAATTCAGTTCTACCGGTGAGTGGCCAGGATGCAGTTGTTTGAGCCAATAGTTGCCGCCTCGTAAGATCTGCCAAGGAGATGTTCTCAAAGGCTGGAGCCAGGAGTTGAACTCAGGTACTCTAATATGAGACATAAATGTCTTAATCTGCATCTTAATCATAGCCAAATACCTGCCCCTCAAATATTTTGAATGTTATTTTAAAGTATAATACCAATTCTAAGGAGAAAAAAAAAAAGCTAGCTAAGCAATTAATTCCACCACCATTTACTAAGTGACTGTCATGGTGGCAGGTGCAGGAGCTGTAGTTCTTGTCCTCCAGAGGTCTCAGCGTGGTGAAAGAGACATGCCTGCAAACAAGCTGCGACAGCTGGGTGAAAAGTGCTATTAAAGAGGTATTAACAAGACATGCTGTTATTCTGAGAGAATGGCTTCATTCTGCCTGGAGAGGTTGGACGGGCGTTGAACATGAGAAAGTACAAGTAGCTAGAAAGAGTACTGTTTAATCAGTCTGTGAAGACTTCATCCTGTAGTAGTAAACGTTTAATTGGCTGTGTATGAAAATTCGGAAATTACTGGATTTTCTCAGCAATAAATCATCTGCTGAGTGAGAAATTTGATTACTAGGGGGCCAGGCCAGAAAAGCTCGAGTGGCTCATGTTGCAGATATCCTCTCTTGGGAATGTTGCTATGCGTGAAATCTGTCCCCTGAGATGAATTAATTGCTGTCACATGAACAACATAACTTTCTAGAAAAGGGAACCTGTTGGCTGCCATCACCTGCCATTTCTAAATCAGGCCTTCATAAAAACTCACGCCTCTCAGATCACTGCTTTCCATCTCACAGTTGAATATTTCTGCTTATGTCTTACACTATATCTCAGTTTTCAGTTTTGCTTTTTATTTTTTTATTTTTTTAAAGATTTATTTTTATTATTTTTTCATTGGAAAGGCGGATATACAGAGAGGAGAGACAGAGAGGAAGATCTTCCATCCGATGATTCACTCCCCAAGTGAGCGCAACGGGCCGATACTATGCCAATCCGAAGCCAGTCCTCGACTGCTTTCCCAGGCCACAGGCAGGCCACAGGCAGGGAGCTGGAAGGGAAGTGGGGCTGCCGGGATTAGAACCGGCGCCCATATGGGATCCCGGGCGTGCAAGGAGAGGACCTTAACCACTTGCGCCACCGTGCCGGGCCCTCAGTTTTGCTTTTTAAATTCTGAATTATATGGTAAAAGCAGACATTAAGCATTAAAATTTGGCTCAAAAATGTTAACTCTTTGCTTGCCAATTCAGAGTAATTCTATTTTGACTGGTCTTTCTTCCACAGGGAGAATGTGACTGTGGAGGAAGTTTTGCTGCTCAAATGATCACTGGTGGAGAAGAGCTTTCCCCTGGCATGTTGTCCAAGACACAGGCATACTTGAGAGGGGTGTGGAACACTGGCAAATATCACTTCTCTATCTCTAAGAGCTAACCTGGAGAAGTCGCTTTTTCTGGGATGATAATTATGGAAAATTCATTGCCGGCAACAAGTGAGTCAGACAAGGGTAAAATAGCAAACACAGACCTGTGAGAGGCAGGCAGAGGGTACGATAGAGAAGCAGGCAGGGGTGCCTTCCCACGCTAATCTCCTTGTTTTGCCAGATTACCAATGTGTGGACAAGAAAGGAGCCAGGTGGCTGTGGGAGGTTTTCTCCCAGAGCTGTGTCTACAGTTTTCTTGGGGCAGAGCTACAAAGAAAAATATCCGCGATAACAAAAGTTCTTACTAAGCAGACAAAGGACCTTTTACTTCTCTTAAAAGAAAAAGTTAAAAATGTCATTTATATAGGGCTTTTTTCCTGACTATAAATATAAAATATCTCATAGAAAATATGCACAAGGGCCCAGCATGGTAGCCTAATGCCTAATTCCTCTCCTTGCATGTGCCAGCGGCGGGAGCTGGTTTGTATCCTAGCTGCTCTGCTTCCCTTCCAGCTCCTTGCCTGTGGCCTGGGATAGCAGGTGAGGATGGCCCAAAACCTCAGAATCCTGCACCTGCTTGGGAGACCCAGAAGCAGCTCCTGGTTCTTGGCTTCAGATCAACTCAGCTTCAATCATTGCAGCTACTTGTGGATGAATCAGCGGATGAAAGATCTTTCTCTCTGTGTTTCCTTTTCTCTGTACATTTTCCTTTTCAATAAAATAATGAATCTTAAGAAAAAATAGACACAAGTTGCAGAAAATCTAGAGAAATATTAAGGTTACTTATCACATCTCCATCTAAAGATAGCCTCTAATAAATTTTTGGTGAATTTTTTAAAGATTGTGTATGTACATACAAAGAGATTTCAGAAAGTTCATGGGAAAATGGAATTAAAAATATATGTTTATTTTGGTGGAAAAAATGAAATCCACAAAAAGTTTATCATAATATGCATTTTTGTGAACTTTTTAAAGACCCTTCCAGTATTCTACATGTTTGAGATACTATATATGCTATTTCATAGGTTGTTCTTTTTCTCTTAGTATTATAAGAATTGTCCTACATTACGTTTTAAAACTCTCAAGCATTCTCTCCCACATGGGTTCAGGGTCCAAGGTTTTGGGCCATCCTTGACTGCTTTCCCAGGCCACAAGCAGGGAGCAGGAAGGGAAGTAGAGCATCCAGGACACAAACTGGGTCCATATGGGATCCTGGCACATGCAAGGTGAGGACTTAAGCCAATAGGCTATTGTGCCAGGCCCTTACACGTACAGATAAATTAGTAGTGTATTTTAAGAACTATTCTTAGGGCAGTCTAGGCTGGACTAGGCTGCAGCACTCACCAGCATGAGTCCCTGCTGAGCCACTGCTCCTGCTATTGAGTGAGAACTGGGCCCAGGAACAGACCAGGCTAGGCAGGGCTATAACACCTGTTGGCCTACATGTGATCTGGTTTAGAGAGAGAGCCAGGCTGGGCCTAGTGACTGTATCCACTGGTGCTTGCATGAGCCAGAGTAAGTGCAGGTTGCTCGGGCTTTGCCACAGCATCAGCTGGCAAGTGCTGGGACTAGAGGCAGATCCTGTCAAGCTAAACTCCAGAACCACCTGGAAAGTACAAGATCTGGGGCTGGGAATAGGCCTAGTAGGGAAACTGTGGGCCTCTCTAATGGGCTGCATCTCCCACCAGTGGGCAGGAGAACCAGGGCTGGGGGGCGGGGAGGGTGGACCTGACTAGATAGGTGGTGGCAACCACTGGCATGAGTATGGGTTGGATAGTGGGACCATTTGGGCTGAGTCAACCCGCGTGGGAGACCCGGAGGAGGCTCCTGGTTCCCAGCTTCCACGCGGGTGCAGGGTCCCAAAGCTTTGGGCTGTCCTGGACTGTTTTCCCGGGCCACAGGCAGGGAGCTGGAAGGGAAGCGGGGCTGCTGGGATAGAACCGGCGCCCATATGGGATCCTGGGCGTGCAAGGCGAGGACCTTAAGCACTGCGCCACCGCGCCGGGCCCGGCGGCTGTTTAATTTTGCACAGTTCTGTAAAGTTCAATTTTCTTTCACCTAAATAAGGTTACTGTAAAAATACCTCATAGATGGCTCTCTTATCTGGCACGTAAACACGCAGTACATAGCTGCTATTTTTGGTAGAAGGAAAATAGTTTTTAAACTAAATTAAAATGTATTAATTGAGCCCTATAATGGGTCAGAGCTGTGAGGTGAAGCCAGACATGTTACACACATGGTTTCATTTTTTTTAAAAGTGTGGACTGAGTATCTATATGGGTCCAGTTATATTAAAATGATAACTATTTCAGAAGGGTGGATTCGATTTATTACACTATCGACTGACGTCCAAGCAAATCTCAAAGCTCCTCCAAAGACAGGCATGTTGGTGGTAGTGAATATAATTTATTGAGTGTAAACTGAATTGACAGTTGAGGCAGCTAAACGGAGGGTGTTGAGTCAATTCGCATATGTGAATTTAAAATACTCGCACCCAATTCTTTGCATATTTGATTTCACCAACATCCATTTAAAGCAATATCAGGGGTCTTGAATAATTTCAAGAAAATGCATATTATGAAAGAAAAACACTATGTCTGGATTTTTGTTTATCTTTGTACCAAAATAAACCTATCTTTGAACACCACTTCCAGAAACTTTTCAATTACCCTCATATATGTGCAGAAATATGCGGAAATTGATGCACCCCACAGAGTCCTCGGTCGGAAGTCGCGTCTCCCCTTGCCTGAGACACCAGTAGACCTCGCGGCAGGGAGAAGAAGCGTCAGCGCACTAACAAACTAAAAAAGGGCAAGCTGTGAGACTTTACCCGGGTCAGTTCCAAATTCGGGGCGGCCCCGCGATCTCTCGGCCGGGTCCGCCACCTGTTCGCCACAGCCAATGGGGCGGCGGGGGCCGACCGGGGCGGGGCGCGCCTACATAAGGCCGTGGGCGGCGCGCGCCCGCACACTCGCTTCGGTCGCGCTCTCGGGACGCTTGGGCTGACGAGGCCGTGCGCCGGGAACATTCCGCTCGTGGACCAGCCGGACCTGAGCGATGCTGCGGGTGCGGTGTCTGCGCGGCGGGAGCCGCGGCGCCGAAGCGGTGCACTACATCGCGTCTCGGGTGCGTGCGCCACCCCCTCGTCCGGCGGCTCTTCTTTCCCCTTGCTCAGCTCTGCGCGCGGAGAGGAGCGCCGCTCCCACTCAGTCCCGCTTGGTTCCCTCGCTTTCGCCAGCCAGAATGGCCTAAAGGCCTTTTCTGGCCCCCGGTTAGAGTCAGAACTTCCAGAGCCTATGCCGGCTGCCGGGAATTTGACCATCTCCCCACCCCGAGCCCCCGCTCTCCCTGGGCAGGCTGGCGTGCGTTACGGCCCTGCCCCGTGCAGAGGGTGGAAAAGCATGGTTGTCCAGTGCATTTTGTGCCTCGGCAGCTCAAGGGGGCTCCGCCCTTCTTCATGGGGCAGCTTCCAGCACAGGGAAAGGGAATGCAGTGCCGGAGACTCCTCTTGAAAGTGTGATGTTGTTAGGGTTCAGTGCTCTGGGTAAGCTTTTGGGGGAAAGCGCAAGTGGGGTGAATGGAGAAGAGGCTAAGGGTGCAGGCTGACCCGACTGCCACATGGAGCCCTGCAGTCCTTAGTGGAGTTGGAGCGAATCCAGCCCTGGCCTAGAGTCTATGGCCGGCCCCACCCTCTGCCTCTCTGGGATGTTAGCTTCTTGAGCCTGCAGACCCTCCCTTACTCCCAGGACAGGAATAGCTCCAGGATTCTGGCTCCCCCACCAACTGGCTTCGGAACACCTGTCACTCTCCCTTTGGCTTTGGGCTCCAGTGCTGTGGCCCTCTTTTTCCCTATCTATGGCTATTGAACAGCATGCAGAAATTTGGGTTGTTGAAGTGTGTTCGCTGGGTTGCAAGACTCTCCATGCCCTACCTTTTACAGGTCCCATGGTTTTAAGAGGCTTTTTGCAAGTCCCAGTTCTCCTTTTTGAGTTTAGATTTGTGCCTGGTTGAACCTCAGTTTGGCTTGTGGCCCATCTGTTGAAACACACCACATGACAGTCGGTCACTCTCAGTGCCAAAGAATGTGAAGTGACTGGAAGAGAAGAAGATTTCTTAGCTTGAAACAGATTTTTTTTTTTTTTCTGAAGGACTGGGCCCTAGTGTGCAACTGCTTCCACATTCCCACTGGTGAAAGCTAATGCTTTTTAAAAAGAGGCCTAATATTGGTAACCTTTGATCGTAAAAGGTGGAGGAGGCTCTCCCCTCAGCAGAACCGGGCAGAGAGCTGTGGAGCACCTCTCCATGGTTTTTCTTAGAAAAGTTGCTAGAAACTTGGGGAAAGCTTGCTTACAAAAACCTCTTCTATGGCCTGCATGAGGGTATAGGGTCACCCGAGACAGAAATCTTCTGGGGAGTTACAGCAGAAAAAGACAATAGACACCTAAAGAAGAAAGTGGAAACTCATCCATGACCTTTGCACCATTGGCTTGCCCTTTGCTGGGGACTCCACATGTCCGACCCTGTTCTGCTGGGTTTTCACACCATCTCTACTTTCTCCTCCCAAGTGCTATATGGGGCTGCACAATAATGTGTTGTGTTGTTGTTGTTGTTGTTCTTGGAAGCTTGGAAGAACCCTGACAGGATGGGTGCAGCGAACCTTCCAGAGCACCCAGGCAGCTACAGCTTCCTCCCAGAATTCCTGTGCAGCTGACGACAAGGCCGCGGATCCTCTGCCCAAGGACTGCCCTGTCTCCTCTTACAATGAATGGGACCCACTGGAGGAAGTGATAGTGGGCAGAGCAGAGAATGCCTGCGTTCCACCGTTTACAGTGGAGGTGAAGGTAAAGCAAGGACATGCCTGGGTGGGGAGGTGGGTTCCCTCCTGCCCTCCTGTAGTGCGGCCTCTGTTCTCCTCTCCTCCCTAACCATGTTCTCTTTAGCTTACTATCCTGCGCCTTCTCACCCGAGAGAGGTTAATGTTATCTTCATCTCTGTGGTACTCGACACTATTTGCTTAAATTATCATTTCTTCTTTACTAAGGCTGGCCGTACAGTCTCAGGGACCCTGTCTGAAAATAGCAGTCCTCTCACAGTTCCTAGGATATTCCGTCACAGTCCAACAAGGTTGGGGTTGAACAGAACATTGCTTCTGGCCCCCTTCTCTTACCCATGCTCACAGCCTCAGCCTCCACCTCCTCAGTCTAGATTTCTTTCCTGAACATCATCCGCATGATGTGTAAAACGCCTCAGGTGGATTTTGCTAAAGGATCTCAGAATTCAGTTGCCAGCCACCCCACTCACCTGGAGCTTTGTTCATTCTTTTAATTTTTGGCATTTTCATTGAATCAAGCTCAAATAGTGAAGAATCATCCTTGATTCATCCTTCAGTCACATCGTCCACATTCATTCTCCAAGATACAATAGATGTTTTACCAGAATGAATCTTGCTTCCACCCGCCTCTGCTGCTTCCTTGGACTGCCTTGGATCTCGTTCGTTAAACTCTTGTAGTTCACTAACTGCTCTCCCTCATTCACTGCGGCCACCTTCTGGCCGCTCTCAGTGATCATGCTACTCATCAGTCCCATCACTTCTCCTGCAACTCCCACCCACCCTTGGCTTGGGCCAGTGTACTGGTATTCAAGAGCCTCCACAGTCCGGCCGTTGTCTGCGTTTCCAGGAGTCTGCATTGCAAGTCATTGGCTCTTCTTAGCAATATGTTAGTGTGACAGGTTAGCAGATGTTCATTCCCTCTGTCCTTTAGTAGTACACTCTGATTTTCAAAAGAGTTTGTAAGACAACTATGCAAGTGACCAAACTCCTCACTGTTCCCTGACAGGTGCCATGTCTTTGCCCCCACCTCAGCCTCTTTAATTCTGATTCCTGTTGTCTGCAGCCATATGACTCCAGTGACAGTTTTCGCAGAGCCTGCCAGAATTTCTCTGACAAAAAGTAAATGTTCCTTTAAAACAAAACGAAACTGGTCAAATTCTTTATCCATAGGAATCTTACGTCTCGGGCTATGATGGGCTGATGTATCAGGATCCCTTATCTAAGGGAGCTTCCTGCACATTTGCAAACAAAGTCGAAGTTCCCATTTATAATGGGTGCCAAATATATTTCCAGTATGCTTAGTTATTCCTGAATTTTAATTTTTTTTCTTTAACTAGAGAGAGAGAAATTGCTTTTCAATCTGCTAGTTCACTCCCCAATTGCTTGCAACCGCTAGACTGAAGCCAGACCAGGAGCTTCTTCCTGTCTCTCATCTGGGTGCAGGGGTCCGAGCAGTTGGGCCATCTTCCACTGCTTTCCCAGGTGCATTATCAAGGAGCTGGACAGGAAGTGGAGCAGCCCACTCTAACCAGGGATGCCAATGCTATAGGTGGTTGTATAACTCACTGGCCCCAAAATATTTACATTTTTATTTGCAGTATGGATTGGGGAAATAATTTCTATCAATGCATTTTTGTTGTCATCTGAAACATTGCCTACCATAGACCAGGACTCCAGAGATGTTAACATGAAAGAACCTCCTTTCTATTTAGAGAGATGTGGTATTCACAGAGAAATGAAGGCCAAGTATTTTATGACCACCAGCTGGCAGGGCAGTTAAAGTGCCAAGAGAGCTATGGGGTTCAAGGGCTGAGTGTTCAAGGGCTTCATAGTTAGACCTGGCAGACAAGGCAATAGAGCAAGTAATGATTTCGTCTAAGTGCGATATTTGAGATTTGATGAGCAAAATAGTTTACATATCGCATACATGTTTTTTAAAGGCATGATTTTTCTATATCTTTTGAGAAGAAGTTGTCCTGCCCCCTAACCATTTTAAGTGGGTGAAGTTGAAGTTCATACTCAGGCAGAAATTTATCCTTTTACTTGTCTTTAAAATGATTGACTTTTGTACCATGTGATCTTATGGAATCAGGAATCTTAAACATTGTGCTGAGTTCTTTGTCACTTGATTTATTACTTCAGACTTTGTTGTTCATGGACTTGTGAAAAGTATACCATGCTGAAGTTTGGAGACAGATGCATTAAACATTTGACAAAAGCTTGGTAACTAGTCTCTGGTGATCAGCTGTTTGATCTTGTATAAGATTTCAGAAATTGTGCAAGATTGCAGAAATGTCTGGGCCTCAGTAAAATGACAATAATTAAGAGTTTTGCTCTCTACCTAAAATAATTAAATATGAAGGGCAAATGTTGTCTGTTAAATATTTTAAAGAACAATCTACAACTCATTGCATGGCTCCAATTTGCCAGTTACATTACCAAAATACACTAGAATTCTAGTAATGATTGTATTAGTCTCATTAATGGCATTAATTTAATATTTTTTTTCTATTTTATGCTTTATGTTAAACTATCTATTAAGGGAGGAGAAAGTAAATGTAAAACATGCATGGCACCCGGAAGCCAGAACTTTGCCTTCTAATATAGAAGAGTGACACAGATATATTAATTGATTGCAGAATAGCTAGAAAATAATGTAGTAAGCTAGTTAATGGCAATTAGGACATATGATATATTGGAAGATATGGATGCTAGAGAGGTGAGGACCATCGTTGTCAGGAAGCACAATTTTTTAAAAATTTGATTAACTAACTCATTAGAAAGGGTGGCATGATGGAGAACAAGGAAGAGACATCACGACTGGGCTTGGCTGAAGTGTGGAATCCAGAACCATCTGGGTTTCTCATGGGTAGCAGGGGTCCAGGTATAGGGTCCATCATCTGCCACCTTCATGGGCGCATTAATAGGGAGCTGAATCAAAAGCAGAGCCCAGGACTGGCACTCTGATATGGGATGTGGGTGTCCCAGGTGAGGTAGCCTCATGTTGTAACACCCGAAAGCCCTCATGGAGGTTTATCTTATGAAGCATGTTGAATGTTTGCTCTACAATGTGTGCTTTTCATTTTGTTCTCGTCTTTTTTTTTTTTTACTTTACTTTTCACAAAGCCCTTGAAAAAGGACCTTTTGCAAAATATAAGATTAATCAAGGCTAATGTAACATGTGTCTCCACTAGATAAATAAAGTAAGTTTCTGTTGACATTTCTTAGCTTTCCAAAGACAGTGTGCAAAAATTCACCTGGCAAATCCTATAAAGAATTTCAGGCTCTGAAAGACTATGTTGTTTCTAGGAATGCTGTATTTCTGCCACGGATTATTAAAAACATCATATGCTAAGCATATAATTTAGTGCTTATTACCTCACAGATGCCCAATAAATCATTACTAACCCATGAGCTAGGTTATTACGAAAGTGTAAACAATTTCCAACTATCTCTTGGAAAATACAATTTACTCTGATCATTTCCTTGCCAGACTATAAACTGTATCAGGAAAAAAAAAAAAAGACCTAACACTTGTTCAAATAACTCTTTCCCTTGGGAATTTTTATTTATCAGCGCAAACTTCGCTTTGTACAAATAGTCACGCAGGACACTTTGGAATGAGTCTGGCAGGACAACACAATCTCATCTGTTATAACCCAGTGTTAAATTCTCAAAGGCTTCTTGTCCCTCCGCAGAGTGGGAGAGATGTGCCTGGCATGAAAAGCGCGAAGTGGTGAATGGATGGGTAATACCCAGGATGTGCTGAACAGAATATAAAGAGTCATTATTACTTTCTCTTTCTGGTTGGTGCTGCAGAAATCACTAGGAGTGAATACAATTGGATTTTAATTGTTTTTTGAAGGAATACGTTGGTTTTAAAACATAGTTGGAGATTTCAGGCTGATATTTTTCACAAGCCAGACACTGCTTGACTATAGATATTTAACAGCAAGGACAAGTTAATGATTCTCGATAGACATCAGCAAATTTTTCCCACATAGAGCTAAGTAATAATTGATTTCAGACCTTGCGGGCCCTGGGTCTCTGTTGTGACTATTTAACTTTCAGCCTTCCTGTTGTAGGACAAAAGCAGCCATAGACCATGTGTAAGCAAATGCATATATTGGTGATCACATAAAACATTATTCACACACACACACGGATTGTTTCAACTGCAGATCTTAGCTTACCAACTCCCTTTTAGAGTTTCCCCAGCATCTTTATTGCTTTCTAAAGATCTGTTTTTCAGTTTTTCTTATCTTCCAGCTTGGGTCCTAGCCCAATCTATGTAAATCTAAATAATGATCTAACAAGAGGTAAATCTGCCTTAATATCCTTAATGTCTTCCACATTTTATCAACCTGAGGTGACAATGGAAACAGAGATATGGCAACTAGAAAAGATAGCCTTTGGGAATAAAGAGTAAAATACCATTGGGAACAACCTGAACTGTGTTCAGTGATGCTATTTTCACAAGATGTTGCACATTAGTTAAAAATGTTCACACCTATGGAATGTAGCCTCATCCCTTTGTGTGTTAGGCACATTGTCAGAGAAGGAGTCAGAGCAACAGTTGCGTTCTGGTCCTTCTGATCAAGGTGGTAAGTGAGCATGTGACTCCTGCAGCCTCTTTCCTTGTCTAGGAAATAAATGTGTACGTATCCTCTTTCTCTCCTAGTTAGCATTATCTAGAGCACCACATGAGAGACCTCCCAGCTAAAGTACACATGTTCCCATACACTGAGCCCATGATCCAGTTTTACCCCCTCAGAAATGATCTGATTTCTAATAGAAGCCCTCATATTGGATAAGATAAGGACCCCAAGTTGGTCAACTAATCAAAGATGCAAAGAACTTTAAAACAACTTGTTTCAAATGCTTTTTTAACTTAAAATATAACTGTAAAATGGCGCCAGTGCCAAAGCTTAGCGGCTGAAGTCCTCGCCTTGTACGCGCTGAAATCTCTTTGGAACTAGTTCTAATCCCAGCAGCCCCGCTTCTCATCCAGCTCCCTGCTTGTGGCCTGGGAAAACAGTTGAGGACAGCCCAAAGCCTTGGGACCCTGCAACCCATGTGGGAGACCTGGAAGAGATCTGGGCTCCTGGCTTCGGATCAGCTCCACTCCGGCTGTTGTGGCTGCTTGGGGAGTGAATCAACGGATGAGGATCTTCCTCTCTATCTCTCTCCTCCTCTGAGTATATCTGACTTTGCAATAAAAACAAATATATATTTAAATAAATATATAATTGTAAATTGTTTTGTTGAAGGTCAAACACTTTTAGAGAGTATATTCTCTGATTAAAGTTCTGCTTTATTATCTTGATAAATTATAAGTTGCATCACACTCATTTCCCAATGTCTTTCTTTAAATTGACTGAGACTTAGACATTTGTAAAATAATTCAAATCTGGCATTTTCTAGATTTTTAGGATTTGTGGGTTTTTTTTTTTGAGGACTTTTTAACAAAAAATTTATTTGAAAGGCAAAGTTAGAGGAGGAGACACACACACACAGAATTTTATATCTGCTGGTTCATTCTCCAAATGGTCCCAATGGCTGGAGCTAGGCCAGGAGCTTCTTCGGGATCTCCCACATGGGTGCAAGGGCCCGAGCACTTGGGCCATCTTCTGCTTTTCAAGGCACGTTAGAAGAGAGTTAGAAGTACAGCAGTCAGAACGGAAACCTACTCATGTGAGAATACCAGCATGGTGTCACAGAGGGATGCTTAACTTGCTATCCCACAATACCAGCCTTGACTTAGATTTTTTTAAAACCCACATTTTATAGTTGTTCTTAGCCAGGAGACCTTCTAAATGTTAAACTTCATTATACAGAGTTGTTTATCTCTTGTGAACCTAACCACGAACTGTGGTTTTCTCCTTTAAATATTTCATTCCGTTTTCTGCTTCTAGGCCAACACATATGAAAAGTACTGGACATTTTACCAGAAGAATGGAGGTCATTATTTTCCCAAAGATCATTTGAAAAAGGCTGTTAGTGAAATTGAAGAAATGTGCAATATTTTGAAAATGGAAGGAGTGACTGTGAAAAGACCTGACCCCATTGACTGGTCATTGAAATACAAAACTCCTGATTTTGAATCTACTGGTGAGTAATGTGGGATAACTCAACTGCCGGTATCTTGATTTCAGTTTCTTTCTTAATGTATGAAGAGAAAGCTCTGATGGTTTCTTGGGGAATCCTTTGCTTTGCTAATCTTTCAAAACTTTAAGGATCATTTGGGATTGTACAATTCCTTTTAGTACGGTTAAAAGACACACATTCTAAACTTCCTTGTAAATCTGATGGATTCTCTTTGAAAGAAGCAGTTTCCCCTGAGCTTTGTGTTTTTTCCTTCTGTGACAGTAGTGGATTCCACCTAATTTCCCTCAAGATCAGATATTAAGAGGGACTAGAGACATTTCTATTTTATTTCTGACATTATTCCATGACTATTCCTTGCCTGAGAGTTGTGTTCTAATTTGTAGTTCTAGAATGGTCCTTGACTCAGTTTTTGTCTTGTGATAACTGATAGGTGCCTAAAGAAATCTATTCCTGTATCTCAAGAAATGAGCTTACAGATGGTGAAGGCTTGGTAGATCAAGATCTTTGCGAATTACTAATAATATTGCTTTATTTTTTGTTTCTTTGCCTTTTTTGCTTGGTTTCCTTACTCCTGTATAGAAATCATGTCCATTTACTATGATACTTTCCCCCATTTTATATTATAATTATACACACATATCCAAGTAATATTATTTACCAAAAAAAAAAAAAAAACCATCTAAGATCATGTTACATCAACTTGGCTATCTTGAAGATTTTTATATTTCATTATTGAAGTTGCCTGGAACTTTCTGGTCTAATAGGTTTGTATGGTGCCATGCCCCGGGACATCCTGATAGTTGTGGGAAATGAGATTATTGAGGCTCCTATGGCGTGGCGTGCACGCTTTTTTGAGTACCGAGCATACCGATCAATTATCAAAGACTATTTTCATCGTGGTGCCAAGTGGACTGCAGCTCCTAAGCCCACAATGGCTGATGAGCTGTATGACCAGGTAAGTCCCTCTCATTGTACAGGTTTAGTACTAACTTTTCTAAATAATTCACAAAGAGATTTTCTGATATCATGTGTGTTTCTGCATGTTCAAAAACAGAGCTTTACCTAAGCTTATAATAAAAGAGTAAATGATCATCTGATAATGATGTTAAAAATAATAGCCAACAGTGATTTAATGTTTACCTGTGCCTGATGCTGGGATTTGTTCTTCAATACAACTGCAGTCAAGTTTATTCTTCAAAGCTCGCTTGCAAGGGTGTGGTAGCATTCCATTCCATGGGAAAACAGCCAAGGGCACAGAGCTTCCCAATGGGACAGAACTCACTAGGCTGAAGTCTGTTCTCTCCTTTTAGAAAAATAACCTACTCACAGAAAAATAAAAGATAGTTCGCTTGTTAAATCACTTCCCATTTGTTCGTTTAGAGAAAAACTTCAAAAATCAAAATTTCCATCTAGACAGAAGTAAATAATGAATTAATTTCACCACACTTGTTGAAGTTTGGCAAAGGAAGCATGACTCTCATTTTATGGTATGAATTAGGCTCAAGACCAAATGCCTTTTCTAAACGGAGAGAATGATTTCATCCTATTGACCTTGAATACTGAAGGTACTTTATAGGGCATGTATAGGTCATAGGGTATTTTCAAAATGAACTACTTCCCTGTCCCACTTGTTTCTACGTATCAGGGAGTTGTTATATACTCCTATATATGTTTTTTTCTATGTTTGCACCAAAAATAAGCTAATCTTTTGATTCCATTTCCCTGAATTTGTAATACCCTTGCAGTGTATTTTTCTTTTGTGGCTTCTTTATCATGGACCCATCTCTTTTCTCTTTTTTTTTTCTTTAATACTTTTAAAAAACATTTATGCATTTATTTTTGAAAGGCAGAGTTACAGAAAGAGAGGGGAGAGATAGGGAGAGAAGATCTTCCATTTACTGGTTTGTGCCCCAAATGGCCACAACAGCCAGAGATAGGCCCATCCCAACCATCACAAGCTAAGAGCCAAGAGTTTCTTCTGTTTCCCATGTGGATACAGGAGCCCAAGGACTTTAGCATCCTTTGGTGCTTTCTCATGTGCACTGGCAAGGAGCTGGATTGGAAGTGGAGCAGCTGGGACTCAAACTGGTGCCTGTATGGGCTGCCAGCATCACAGATGGCAGCTTACGCCTGTGTACCACAACACTGGCCCAGACCTGCTTCTATTCTATGCATATTTTAGTGTAGAGCTGAGTAGCAGTAACAATATTTTCTTAGCAGTATATGCCTTATAAATGATTGTCTCATAAAAACAAATTTTCTCTTGCACCATTCAGTACATTCTGTGTGTTCATTCTTGTTCTATTTAGGATTATCCCATCCATTCTGTGGAAGACAGACACAAATTGGCTGCTCAGGGAAAGTTTGTGACGACTGAGTTTGAGCCATGCTTTGATGCTGCTGACTTCATTCGAGCTGGAAGAGATATTTTTGTACAGAGAAGCCAGGTTGAAAAAAAAAAGCCACCTCTGAAATTTCATACTATATTACTGTTTTTCTTATTTTAAATTAAAACAATTTTTATCCTAAGTATTCTTGGTTTTTCTAAACGTGGAGCCAGGTCTTTACAGATTGTCTGCCTTTTATTTCCAGGTTACAAACTTCCTGGGCATTGAGTGGATGCGTCGGCATCTGGCCCCAGACTATAGAGTCCATGTCATCTCCTTTAAAGATCCCAATCCCATGCACATCGATGCCACCTTCAACATCATTGGACCTGGTCTCGTGCTTTCTAACCCTGACAGACCGTGTCACCAGGTAAGAAGGTGCTTGGGACTGTGCAAAAGCAGCAGTCTAGCCACTAAGTGATGCTGCCACTTTTATTTTAAATGCTTCTGCGGTTCGTAATAGTTCTAAAGGGCAAATTCAACAATGTTCAACATGATCACTACTGAACATTGGATTGTTTATGATGTGTTTGTTTATGATGTGTTTATTATAAGACCGCCAACAATCAGAACTGTACATTATTAGCATAATTAGTGTAATATAATCAGACATTGGCTCCTCGCTGTTGTTGAAGCTTCAAGTTTATGCTTATTGTGTATATTTTCATCAGAGTGGTTTTATCTCATAACTTGCAGAGGTGGTTCCACAGTAGCCGAATTATAAACAAAATGGCTGCTGCATAGCTAAGGCAATGCCAGCGGGCAGTGCATGTCTTCCTGTCTAGGGGGTCAGGGTCAGGCAGCCTTACCCTGCAGGGAGGAGTGGAGCTGCAGTGCCTCGGCCCTCTCCCTGCCACCCACTGCCTCCTGTTTCTTCCCATCCCTCTCTCCTTCTAGTTGGGCAGTGAATGATTTTATGTTGTTTGCAGTGCTACAGTACACCCTTGGGATGATAATTCCAAAGAAGAATTCTGCATAGTAAGGACTGTCTGAAACCAAGAATGGCAAGTGTATCTGGATTTTTTTCTTTTTGTATCTTACAGATTGATCTTTTCAAGAAAGCAGGATGGACCATAGTGACCCCTCCCATACCAGTCATCCCAGATGGTATGTTTATTAATGTGTCCTTAGAGATTGAAATGCTTCTATCAGTGACCCAGGATCGCTATAGAGAGTAACCCAAACATTAGCCATTTGCAGGACATGTTTCCCAGCAAGGAGTAATGCAGTGCTTGGGACTGCAGAGTGCTACACTGGAGCTTCGGTTTGCAACTCTTCCTCTCATAGAAGATGGGAGTGGGAGGAAAGGATAAAATGACATCATAGAAAGTGAGATATGACTTTTAAAGAAAACCTGAAGAAACCCAAATATGTATGAATATGGATTGCTTAATGACATTTATACAATTTTTTTAAGATTAAAATAAGCTTCCACGTGGAAAGTGAACTGGAAAAATCACTGAACTATGACTTAAATATATTTTTTCTTTGTACATTACTTTAAATAAAAATGAGAGTAAGCATGGTTGAATCATTGTCGGCATTTTTAGATCACCCGCTCTGGATGTCTTCCAAGTGGCTTTCCATGAACGTCCTGATGCTGGATGAGAAGCGCGTTATGGTGGATGCCAATGAAGTCCCTATCCAAAAGATGTTTGAAAAGCTGGGTAAGTACAATACGTGCAACATGTTGTCATCAGAGAAAATATTAAATAATAAGAACTGAAGAAATGAAACCCTAGGCCTAATCTATGGTTTATTTAATTCAATTTCTATACCTTCTAGGGGCACTAAGTTGTTTTACAGGTGGCCGATATGTTTGTTTTCAACAAGCATGGCCACAAAAAAATGAGAGATTCACGCGAAGCTGGTAGAGCAACCCCTTAGCAAAGAGTTTATCCGTCTTCTATGATATAGCCAACGCCTTGGTGCCCCTGCGTGTGGAGAACCAGGCATTGTCCGATGAACAAATAGATTGATCTCGCCTTCTCCAAATAAGACATTGTTGATGGTCCTTGAGAAGTAATTAAATTGTCATCAGTTATTTTAAAGGGCTTAGAAAGGAAAAGCAGCAGATGTGACTTGCATGTGTGATAAGCACAGTTAACAAAGTAGTAACATACAGTAGAAGATGAGAATGAATCATTCACCTTTGGATTAAAGAGTAGGATGGAGTTTTACTGGAGTGGAGGCTTGCTTATCCCAAAATTAAAAATTTAAACCAGAGGGCCTGGCACAGTGACCTAGCGGCAAAAGTCCTCACCTTGCCTGCCCAGGATCCATATGGGCGTCGGTTCTAGTCCCAGCAGCCCCACTTCCCATTCAGCTCCCTGCTTGTGGTCTGGGAAAGCAGTCAAGGACGGTCCAAAACCTTGGGACCCTGCACCCGTGTGGGAGACTCAGAAAGAGGCTTCTGGCTCCTGGCTTCGAATTGGCTCAGCTCTGGTCATTGTGGTCACTTGGGGAGTGAATCATTGGACGGAAGATCTTCCTCTCTGTCTCTTCTCTCTGAATATCTGACTTTCCAATAAAAATAAAGTAAATCTTTAAAAAAAATTTAAACCAGTGATTCTGGTACCATTAAGAAAAGCATTGAAGAAAAGATTTTCACTTGAGGTGCTACATAGAGCATGGAGGGATGTGTGCATATTTAACATGCTTGACGTAATGCTGAGTATCAAAGCCAAGTTTAGTGATTGAAACTGAGAATTGTTTGAAAAATCTATGTCCTGTATTTCAAGCGTACTAACCAGAAGAATTTTTTTTTTCTCTCTTGACACATCCTTTCCTAATTAATTCTCAGAGAGTTGGATTCTCGGTTTTTCCACTGAGCAGGATGACTCTAACCGCATGCTATGTTACCTTTGTTCTAGTTTTCATAGATAAACTTTTTGCATGGGGTCAGTTTCATTGTGTGCTAAGATTTTGTTGTTTTTCAATACAAAATAGTATTAAATGTCAGCTATTTGATTTATAATTTTCCTTAAAATTTTAATTTCAGTAGTTGAGGTTCCTTTAGACACAGAGAACCTGTTCTGGCAAATTTAACAAAGCAACTGAATACCGTCCAATTCAGGGATAAGTTGGCTCTAGCCTTCTGAATAAGATAGATATATAACATAATTCTGTCAGGGAACATGCTCATGGTTAAAAGTCCACCGCTTATCCCAAATGCACTTCCTACTTCTGTCCACACTCTTTTCTTAGTGTTCTTTAAAGCTCAGGAAAGTTTATCTGAGTGGTTCACACCACTTCTGTCTTCCTGATTATACCAGTCAGACCCTTTGTGACTCTCCAACTCCCTGCTCCCTCAAAATAATGAGTTCCTGGAGGGGAGAAAATAGACTTTAAATCATACTAACACATGTTTGCCATACATGCCACAACCATGCCATTACATCATTACATTCAGATTAAATAAATTGAGTGATGAGCTTTGACACTTCTACATTCATAAAACCCAGATATTGAACTACCAGATCTGTTCCATTGTTTCTTGAAGGTGGCCTGGTAAAGTTAGCCCAAGTCAAATAAACTTTCCTTATATGAGCATGTAAAGCCAGCTTTCCAGGTAGGCTAAATTATGTTTTTCCTGCCAGATTAATGTGGTATAAGCAGTATGAAAAAATATTTTAAATATTGTAATTTTAGTACTAATGTTTTTGAACATTTATAGATATGCAGTGGTATTTAGAAACTTTATGGTTTAACTGAAATTAAAAGTAAGTTTGTTTTAGTGCAATTTTTTAGATTCATGCATGATTTTTATTTATTAGAAAGTCAGTTATACAGAGAGGAGGAGAGAGAGAGAGGAAGATCTTCCTTCCGTTTACTCCCCAAACAGCTGCAACAGCCAGACCTGAGCTGATCCAAAGCCAGGAGCCCAGAGCCTCCTCTGGATCTCCCACACGGGTGCAGGGTCCCAAGGCTTTGGGCCATCCTCGACTGCTTTCCCAGGACACAGCATGGAGCTGGATGGAAGCGGGGATGCCGGGATTAGAACCAGTGCCCATATGGGATCCTGGACAGGCAAGATGAGGACTTTAACCACTAGGCTACCATGCCATGCCCAGATTCATACATAATTTTTCATAGGGTGAATTTCCCATAAACTTTTTAAAGATTCCTGTCTGCTCATCCAGTCTGTTGACTTATGAATAGTCAGTAGAACAAAACTGCCAAAATATCTGTTTCCTTTTTTTGAAGATTTTATGTTAACAGTCGAACAGACTAGATGAGATACAGTTGGTAAAAAGAGAGAAAAGACTATTCTGGGTTGGGTAGCTTTAAGGATTAGAGCCTCGGGGTTCCGACGGGTCTGTAGGCTTATTCTCTGTATGGGTATCTTGGTGTTAGTCCACCTTGCTGATCACATGTCTCTTTCAATGCAGGCATCAGTACCATTAAGGTTAACATTCGTAACGCCAATTCCCTGGGAGGAGGCTTCCACTGCTGGACCTGTGATGTCCGCCGCAGAGGCACACTCCAGTCCTATTTTGACTGAGCAGGTCTGAAGGGGCTCGTCGCTTGGCCTCAGATACAGCCAGGAAGCTTAGGAAAAGGGTTCGTTCTACTGCTTTAAAAAGTGCATGAGCTAGAGTGCTTTAAACAATCATATTCTTAACAGGGGTCTTAAGCCTGGTTTACTTTTATTACCTTTCTTTGAAATAAGGAAAATAACTTCTTCTAGGTATTACTCTCCACTCCTAAAGTTGTTTGCTATTTGGCTTCACGTGTAAAAATTTGGTGAATGTTTACCAAGACAAAAATTAGTCACTTGAATAACTTGGCCACTAATATTTAACCATCTACCTCTGTTTTTAATTTTCTTTCCAAAAGGCAGCTTGAAATTTTGGTCCTAATCTTAATTTTTTTTTCTTTTTGGAAGACTTATGTATGTTTATATTATTTTCTAGAAGAGAGAAAGACTTTGAACATAAACAGATCCTAAATGGAACTAGATAACTGTCTCTTTTTCTAATGAAGAATTTTTAATTTTTTGTTTTTAAAAAATAAACCTAGAACAGCAAACACTGAAGTGAATTTTCCATGAGTGTTTTTAATATTCTAATCTCAATACTGTAATAGTGCAACTAAAAGCATTTTCATACTACTTACCTCATTTCAAGTGAACTATTTTAATCTTTTTTCTCTCTTTATAAATCTTTACAGAAATGTTTAGTGCAATAAGATGTAACTTTGAGTTTCCATCCCTAAATTTCTTTAATAGATACATTGCATCTTTAGTAATCTTGTTTACAGATGTGCGAATTATTTTAAAGCATAGAGTTTAAAAGCATTAAAAAAAAAAACTAATGGGGGTAAAACCAACATGTGATGTGAAATAATTTTAATGTTGGATGCTGCACATGTATTTTTATGCTAATAAATGTTTGTTTTCCAGATTGGATTTTAGCAGAGTTTGGTGTCAGTCTAATTATTTTAGTGCAAGTAATGTAGCTCTTGAGACAACATTCTAATTCTCTGAACATAATTCATCACAAATTTAAACTCAGGGCAGTCACATATTGCTTATCTGTAATAATACATTCTGAAAACTGTCTAATGAGATGGTTTTATTGCCATGTGAATAGCATAGAATGTCCTTACGCGAATTAAGCTGGCTACAACATCACTAAGTGATACATTCTGATTGGACTACCATCACATTTGAGTTTATACATGTTTAACAATGTCAGATTGCAGTTTATCAGTTAATCCACTCATTGAAAAATATCTGAGTATCTTCTGAGCATAAGGGATTATTAATCCAGTCAGTGTCCCAGAAAGGAGAGTCTGTTCTCCAGTTGCTGAACGAAGTTGTTAGCAGACACTAGGGTGTGGCTCACTTGGGGAGTCACTAAATAGACTCCAGCAGGCATTGCTCAGAGCAAAGCTTTCTTTCCTGTGAAAGTCAAGGAGACAGTGTGGGAGGTAGACTTTCCTAAAGAAACTGGCCTCCTGGGAAGCAGTTTGCCCAGGCTTTTATAGCATGGTTTAGGGGCTCTCTGGGATGTAGAAAAAGTGGAGCAATTGCCACCCAAGAATACACATCTTTGTATGTTGTATGTTCAGAACTCTGGCTCCCGCTGGCTTCTTGTAGCTTTGCAGGGTTGATAATGGTAGTCTGGTCCCCTGCGTACGGTATTGTAAGACAAGCCTGCCTGGGGCATCCTCTGAAAAACTAGCTCTGATGAGTAAGCCGTTGGAGAGTCTCTGCCTCTTTTGCTGTGTCCCTAAATGTTATTACTTTTTATTCATGAAAAATATGCAAAGATTGTAGACTTTAAAGTGATTCACGAATTGCAAGCATTCTCTTCCCAACATTTCTAACTGTTTAATCATGCTTGAGAAATATATGCGTTTGTATGGATTGATACACACTTAGAATATTCCCAGGTATACAGCAATTTTATTACATACCCCTCTGCATTTTCTCCAAAACTTACTCCAGACCTTAACTGCATCTTCTTAGCTGGGATCTCATATGGGTACCGGTTCATGTCCCTGCTGCCCTGCTTCCCATCTAGCTCCCTGCTTGTGGTCTGGGAAGGAGGTAAAGGATGGCCCAAAACCTTGGGACCCTGCACCCATATGGGAGACCCGAAAGAGGCTCCTGGCTCCTGGCTTTGAATCATCTCAGTCCCAACCATTGTGGCCACTTGGGAAGTGAACTAATGGATGGAAAGTCTTTCTGTATCTCCTTCTCTCTGTAAATCTGCCTTCCCAATTAAAAAATAAATAAATCTTTAAAAATAAAAATCTCTGTCCTCTCCATGTCTCCCCCTCTCTCTGTAGCCTTGCCTTTCAAAAAATAAAAAATACTTCACAGAACTAAAAATTCTAACCTATTCCCAGGTTTCTTCCTATTCTATGCACAATGGAATGCCAGTGATTATAGTTAAGAAAATAGTTTCTGTAGGAACAGAGTGGAAAGAGTGAGATCCCCTTTGAAAGTCAAAAATCCCTTCCTGTGGCACCTGCTGCCCTCAGTGTCTCAGTGTGGACCTCAGGATGAATCTTCTGGCCATCCACACGGATCCCACGCAAGAAGCCTTGAGGTGCAACACGGGAAGAAACAGAAATCCAAGTTTCCCTTTTTACCCCAGAGATCATTGTTTTCATAAAAAATTAAGGCTGTTTACAAAATTATATGAGAAAACTTAGTTTTGTAAAGAAGTTTTCACTCATTATCTTCCATGTATTTGTGTATAATGAATCCCAAATTAAGTAAATGCCTGTGGTAAGTGCATGCTTTTTTGCATCAAATGAAATAATGTTTGTTCCATTTTTACAATTAAAGTTCTAAAATAATTTTATTTTTGATGTTGTTCACATAGCTGACAAAGATGCACACCCATGAGGACCACTGCTTTGGAGTAGGGAGGGTTGAGGCATGGGGGAAGGTGTGTGGGACAAATGCTTCCAATTTTCCTTTTCTTCCCTTTTCTCCTGTATCTGAGAGGGGGAGAGGGAGGGAGGGGTAGAGGCTGCTCCCAGCTGCCAAACTACATCAGTACCCAAGGATGGAGGATGTCCACTTGATGTCATCTTAGAAACTCCAATGTGGAGAAGAATGTTCTGAGGATATTGTTTGAGTGACTTTAATTGTTGTGAGATCCCACTGGTTTTGTTGCTCCAAGGTTGAGAAAATCCTTCCAAGGTCCATTGGCTGACGGAATCCCCCCAGTGCATCTACTCACCCGGACACTGGCTGCCAAAACTCAGCGAGGACAGTTGTCCAAATTGTTATGTTCTTCATCCTCTGACAAGGCATTTGACATCCTCTGCATGTGTAAATGAGTTGGTCATCCTGTCCCTCATGCCACACACCTGGCATGCTGTCTACTGCACAGGCATTAGCAGTCGAGGAGACCCAGTCCCAACACATGGTCCAAGGTCAGGCCACAAATCTTATGGTCTTTCCTGTGGCCAGAGTTTCGAGTCCAGTGGTCCCTTTGGGAAGTCCCCCAAGAAACCCAGACCTGATTCTTGCATGTGCCAGCCAGTACAGGGTCCAGTTAGTCCATCAGTTTAAACACACACATCAGTGATTGTAGTTGCCTGGTCACTTCTGTCTCCAGCTCCATGTCCTATGCAAACCCATGGGTGCTGCAGCTTAGTCCAACCTAGCCTGCCACAGACCCGGCATACCAGCAGAAACTACAGCCTAGTTGGGGTGACCTCCAGTAACCCCAACCAGACCTGCCCCAGACCCATTTCCTGCACGTACCAGTATTTATAGCGGACTAGTCCGGTCCTTGCTACATCCCAATCAGGCTCTTGTATGGGTATTGCACCTTAGCTCAGCCCATCCACCCATGACCCAGTCCACATACATGTCGACAGGTGCCACTACCTTGTCCAACCTTGTCCCCAGTCCTGACTCTCATGCATTCAAATGGAAGCTGCAGCCCAGCAGAGGAGTGCTCATTGTTTCCCTACTAGCTCAGACCCCATTCCAGATCTTGCACTTTCCAGAAAGTACTGCGTCAGATCCAGTCTGACACAATTTGCACCCTGTCTTGGCACTTGCCCGTGGATGCTGTGGCCCAGCCTTGACCGCTGTGGTCATTTGGGGAGTAAACCAGCAAATGGAAATTTTTCTCTCTCCTTGTATCTCCTCTTTTTGTAACTCTGCCTTTCAAATAAATGAATGAATGAACATTTTTTAGAAATAATAAAAAAGAATAACTGCTCCAAAGCCAGTTACTTCAGAGCGTGAGGGTTGAGTTATATACACAGTTTATATCAAAATGGCATTGTGAAGTGTTAACCATATTCTGAAAAAGGGAAAATATTATCTGATATGTATCCACAAAGATTTAAAACGTGTTTAAGAGTTCTGTCTGGGAATGATGTGCATTGTGGTACAGTGGTTTAAGCAAATGTGTGATCCCAGCATCTTGTTAGAGGGCCCATTTAAATTCTGGCTGCTCTACTTCAAATCCAACCCCCTGCTATTGTGCCTGGTGGACAGGACCTTCAGAAGGCAAAATTCAGGAAGAATTTAGGATGAACTTGGAAGTGTTGTCCTTACACTTCTAGCACTAAAATCTGCAGTGATTGCTATTGCTTCAAAATAAGCATGGGATCTAATTACACTTAAGTGTTTATTTTGTGAGACTGCTCCTAATTGTGCATAATTCTTTCAACTTGGGACTAATTCTAGGAATTATTTATGTTTACTTACTTTTGCAGAATATTATTAAAGAATAAAAACCCAAGCATGCTAATAATTTACCTAGTTAACCATTGTTCATGGGAGTGGCATTAAGCAGTAGCTTAATTAATACCTAGGGGGAAAGAAGCAACTTCTGAAATGCTGGCTTTGCTAATCTAAACTAAATCATGAGATAGCGAAAGTCCAAACCTGTCGCTTTAATACACTGCTTTTGAACATCTGTTATCTCTTCCCACTGGCTTTGGCCTGACCCCGCCACATGGAAAGTGAACCAGAAGATGGAAAATCTTTCTATCTCTTTCTCACCTCTGTATTCTGTCTTTCAAATAAATGAATGAATCTTCTTTTTACGGTAATTTATTTCTCACAGTATCATAGTCCAGTATTAAGGTGCGTCTCCCAGGTCTCCCACAGGGACACAGGGCCCAAGGACTTCAGACATCCTCTGCTGCCCTTCCAACCCATAGCAGAGAGCTGTATCACAAGTGGAGCAGCTGGGACTCGAACCGGCGCCCAAATGGGATGCTGGTGCTGCTTGTGAAGGATTATTCTACTGAGCCACTGTTCTGGTCCTGACAACCTAGATTTTTTTTTTTTTTTTTTTTTTAGGAATTATCAGGCTAGATAATTTTTTAAAAGGCTTATTTGTATCCGTTTGGAAGAGTGACAGAAGGAGAGATAGAGTTAGCCTCTACCTGCTTGTTCACTCCCAAAAGACTGCAACTACTGGACTCTAAAGACAGAAACTTCTTTCTGTCTTTCACATGGGCACACGGACCATCATGGGCACAGACTCATGTCCTCGGGCCATACTCTACCACTTTTCGATGTGCATTAATTAGCAAGGAGCTCGATCAGAAGTGGAGCAGCCAGGACTAAAAGTGGCTCACATATAGGATGCTGGCACTGCAGCCATTGGCTTAACTCACTGAGGCCATAGCACCAACTGAAGTTGAATGGCAGCTTAGCCTGCTGTGTCATAGCACCAGCCCTATCATCCTAAATTTAATGACAGAGCTTTATCTCAGTGAGATTGAGTGGGGTGCTCAAGGTCATAACCAGTAGGCAATGAGGACAAGAGTTCAGGTCTTCTCATATCATCTTGTGCATTTTTCCACTGCAGCATACCAATGTGTTAAATGGGCCAGCATTGTGACATATGGAATAAAACTACCACTAGAATACTGGTATCCAAAATGGATGCCAGTTCAAGTCCTAGCTATTCCACTTCCGATGCAACTCCCTGCTAATGTGCAGGGAGAAGAAGATACTGTGCAGCAGTAGAAGATAGCCCAAGGTCGGGCTCCTGGACCGATCAGCATAAGACCCAGAAGAAAACTCTGGGCTCCTGGCTTCAGTCCCATCCGTTGCAGCCATTT